TGTATCGTTTTGTGTATCAACTCGTCTTATATTTCTTCTCGATATCTATTGCTTAATTTACTGCCCGGTAGATCTGGTTTTATTTGAAGTTTTACTCCCTTTATTTTCTAAGTTTGGATTAAATTGTTCTTGTCTAATTATTTTATATGGCATTTGTGGGAAATTAAGTTTGGTTAATATTGGGTTGTTTTTATGCTCATTGTTGGAAGCTTATTTTACTCCTCTAAGTTTAAGTTTAAAATTAAGTGCCCATGAAGGGAGATAGAAGAGAGTTGTGTTTATGCTAGTTATTTGGTTAAGGTGCCGATTCTCATTCTATTGGTTTTCTTTGTGGCATGTTAAACCTCTTTCGAGCCCATTATGGGACCCCACCCCACCTTTGACTTGCGAAGGAGCCATAAAGGCTCGGAAGTTCTTTCATCGAGTCTCCCACCCAAATCCGGAGCATGGATTCGAAGTTCCAAGGACTGAAGATTGAAGAAATCCAAAAACGAATTAGAAGACCTGTTTATTTCATTTTGTATTTTATTTGTTATTTTATTTCGTATTTTATTTGTAATGGGCATAAGCCCTTGTCCCTTTTAGCTTTCTTGTTATATTTGTATGTTTAGATTAGGACAGGTACGAAAGAGAAAATGGATCAAAACCCAAAAAATAGGTGGGTCCAAGTTTCGGTCAAGGCGAACAAGACCTGAAAACTTGGACCCAAATCTCTCTCTCTTTCTCTCTCTCTCTCTCTCCCTCTCTCTCTATTATTTGCTTACGCTTTTTACTCGAATGCCGTTAGTCTAGGATTAGAAAACTCCAAACCCCACCGAACGCTTTTACTTTATCGAATTTAAAACGTAAAATTAAATCTTAAATCGATAGACGTTTCAAAATTCGCAAGTTTGCTTAGAGAGTTAAGGTTTAAAAAAAAGTTTAACTAAGACGGAATCTCAAAAGAAAAATATTTCAAAATTTGCAAAGTTTGTCTAAGTAAATTATGATAAAATTCAAACTTCAATTCGCAAAGGTTAAAACAAAAATAGTTAAATAGTTAATCGCCGGAAAACCGTAAGTTAGCGGAGTGTCTTAGGTGCCTTACACCTTCCTAAGACACTAATATGAATCCCGAATCCCCTAAAAAGTTTTCAAAACGATTTTTCTGTTTAAGTTGTTTTGGAAATGAGGTTTTTTTTATTTTCCTTAAAAAATTAAGTGGCAACTCCTAAAAGTCGAAAATAGTCTCTAATAAAACAAACTCTTTTCGAAATCATTTTTTTGATAAAACAAAAATGGCGACTCCGCTGGGGAGTTTGGAGGATTCTAACCCTATGATTAACATATTTGATTATTTGTGATTAATTGTTTAAGTGTTTAAATTCTTTAGATTTTTAAACTGTTGCATGCATAACATACATACTTCCGTCAAACGATACTTATTACATTTCCACTAAAGGACGATTATGCGGGTTCACAGTGGTTCGTTAACCAAAAATCTTCTCGGGGCACCCTGACGAGTGTAGTTGATTACTTGATAGTCAACGATCGTTAATTGTCCCAGCCCAAGTAGTCCGCTTGGGTTACCCATTCCACTCTAAATACAACCCACTCTTAGTCAAACTAGGATAGAGCGAAACCCAAATCCCAAAAAATAGCACATTGGCCTAAGACGACCCGACACCCAAGGAGTGTCGGGTCCATTAGAAAAGTCCACCTAGAGTCCAAAGAGCCTACGGCTCGATAGGACGTTCATGTTTGTTGTTTAAATTTGAAGGATGTATTGCGTGTTTAACTAGTTGTTGTATCGGGGGGGATTGAGAATTAACTAGTTGTATGTTTTTGTAGATGCTAAGTCAGTTCCTTCACTTCAAAATGGTCACCCAGGCGCCCGATATTCTTCGAGTATGGTGGGGATATCTTAAGGAGTGTCAGAAGAGAGAAATCTCGATTTACTTGAGTCACCTGCCTTCGATAATGAATTTCAAGGTATGGCCCACGTTTATCGAGGTCATCACTCGATTTTGGGACGATGAGAAGATGGTCTTCCGATTTGGAGATGTCGAAATAACGCCCACACTAGAAGAAATCAAAGATTGCCTTGACTCAATTGGGACGTGTGGCAAAAGGAAAAAACGTCCTGATCATCACATTCTCCTACCAGATAGGCCAACCAAGACTGAACTAAGAGACATATTATTCCTAGTGAACGCAGATTGGTTAAAGACCCACGACATTCCACTAATGAGATTTTTCGAGAGGTGGGGACACGACAATTATTTTAGACTATTCCCGAAAGAATTTCATGACTACAGTACCTGGAGACAAACCCAAGCTATCGCTTTCTCTACATGCCTCTTGGAAACTATGGTGTTCCCTAAAGACGAAGGAAAAGAAATCGACACCCGGGTAGTGATGGTGGTGAATGCCATGTTCAGAGGAGTCGGTAGAAAATCTGAAGAAAAGAAATACTGATGCTTGGCCCCATTTACCGATCCTTGAGTCTGTGCAAGAATGGGTTCCCGTTTTTCCAAGGTTGCAACATCTTACTCCAATGGTGGATGACGGAACATTTATGTAAAAGAGACAACCCCCAGCCACAGGAGTTGGCCGAACCGAGTCAAAATAGTCCTCTCGATAATTACGAGTTCTACTTGAGTATCTGTAAATTTCCAATTCACACCACCAGGGACGTGTGGGCAAGGGTGTTTTATGATTTGAAAGAAGGAGACTTACAGTGGGTGTTACTGAGCTTCAAGTCCCAGATGATAGCAGCCCAAGGGGCCAAACTGCCATTCTTAATCCTTCCCGGCATCAGAGGATTGCGTCCTTACAACCCGACAAGAGTGATGCGGCAATTTGGGAAAGTCCAAATCATACCCGTCCAAGGGGATGCCAGCTCTTTCGTTGTCGATTACAATGAGAAGGACAAAATATCTTTCGCTAAAATTATCCTCCAGGAATGGGCCGGACGTGTCAACATGAAATGGGAGGTTACCGAAGATAGGTATGAAGCTGGGTATGTTGACGAATACAAGACATGGTTGCACAATGATTTGCATGGTGTAGTGGATCCAACACCACGCACGGGTCGGAAAATCAAAGACGTGCAAACAAGGCTTCAGATTCATGCATACCATTTTCAGCAAGAGTGGGACCGAAGGGAGCAAGAATTTCATAAGAAAGAGAAGGAATTTCAACAAAAGGAGCGAGAGTACCAGCTTTGGGAATTGGAAAATCAGAGGGCTATGGCTGTGACGTCACAAGAATTAGCTGACACAAGGGCTTTTTTGGTGCGTTTGGACACTATTCTGGATGAGCAGATGAACACCTTACGAGTCGTACCGACATCTTCCAAAGCTGCGTTCGCTGAGCCATACGTGTTCACCAACAAGTGCATTATCCGAGAAGGCTAGAAGAGGAGCTGGATCATCGACCCTTTAACTCCCCTGCGTGGGATTGATTTTATATGTGTACTTGCACTACATCCCCTTCGTAAGATGTATCCCGTTTGATTTTTATTATGTAATGAATGCTGTGATATCTAGTGAAATTTGTTTCGGGGGTACAATTACTTGGCACAAAAGGGTCACATGCATGTTTAGGACTCGATATATGTGTTTAAATATTTATATGTTACGTTGCTTTGAATGAGGATATCCGTAAACCCACTTCTAGCCAAAATTCCAAAGAGTATACAGAAGTCAATATTACAAATGTCCGACCAAATTCCCAAGTTTCAAGTTTCTCATGAAAAATCCATCTCCTATACCATAAATCCTAAATACCGCTCTATCATCTCAGGAAAGTTGAATCACCGCTATGGACAAAGGCAAGAACGTCCGGACGGAGCTCACTGTGGAGGAATTGCGAAGAAAGATCGAGCGAGTCACTCGAGAGATTCAGAAGATTAAGGAGGAATGACTTAGAGTAGACATGACCACGGCAATCTACAAAGCTGCGGTCACGACCTTGGATGAAGATCTGGCGTCGCAGATAAAGAGAAAGAATGAGGTTGAGATGGAAACCGAAAGCCTAAGGAAAAGGTTGAACTTGCTTTATTTGGAGATACACGAAGGAAAGGCGAGAGAGGCAAAGATACATATTGAGACTGTCGTGTTGTTGGCCAGAAGTGCGTCACTCGATGAGGAATTGGCGACTTGTAGCAACCCAAAGGGAAGAAAATACCTCGCCCGTGACCAGGGAGCAGATAGCAGTGGCCCCGACAAAGAATTAATCGAGGAGGAGGAAATCGTTTACAAGCCTCCATTTCCGACTGTTTGAAAGAAAAGGAATGACGCAGCCACAAGACGAGAAATCACCAAAATGTTGTCTTCTCGGAATTTCAATGTTGTTTTTCAATTCCCTTGTAATCGCAATGAAAGAATGAATTAAAAGATTTCATCCTAAATCCAAACTATGTTGGGCCTGAATTCTCCTTGTGAGATACGTAGGCAGCCTTTCCCGGCCCGGCCCCTATCACTAAAAATTTTCATTCTCCTCTATGTTTTGGAGATACGAAGATAAGATCAACGGGCACCAAAAAGCAGCTGCAAGAAGATCATAGCTCAACGTGATTCGGCCTTCCCGAGATGATGTCAAAACAAGCAAACTCCTGTTTGTTCAAAAATATATTTCCATCCTCATTCGTGGGCTGAATGGTTAAAACGCCCAACTCATAAAAAGAATATAAAATATCCTCAAACAAAGCGACTTGTGTGTTCATATGTTTTCTTTGCGATATTATGCATTTTGTACTCCGGATATGCACTAACAAATTTTCCTTTGAGTTGTTTCACCTCTCAGGTACCTTTTACTGATCTGTGTCGATAAAGCTGGCAGATCACCCCTACTTCACCAGATCAAAAGGTCCTACAGATTCCTTCCCCGGACCAAATGCAAATATAGACATGGGAGACAACAATGAACAAGTCAGCCTCACAGATGTCGTGGTGGCTCAGCCCACCGTGGCAGAGCAGAATGAGCTAATTGCGCAGCTGATGTAGCAGATAGCTAACATGATGGTCGAGATGCAACGAAGCCAAGACACGCCTCCGCCCGGGTTTGGCCCCAACTTTCTCAACGCGAGACCTCATACATACTTCCCCCCGTCCAACTCGGATCCTACTCAGCACCGTCCATCGGCACCCGTGCACAACCCGTCTAGGGTAGATATGACAACCCAAAACCCCCAATACGCGTTGGTCTCCTATCAAACTCCCTCACCACTTCCAAACAACCCCCCACAAATGCCACCACACCCCCAAAATACTCAAACAGCCCCACCACCCCAAAATCAGAGCCAAAATCCCACTGCCTTAAACTCCCAAACACCACATCCCCACTTGACCCTAAGTACCAATCCCCAAAATTATCCACAAAACTATCAAACTGCACAGAACGTCTCAAGCCCTTCCATAGCTCCACCCCTCCCTAAAAGAACAACATTTCAAGTCCCCGTCCCGGCCGAGCATGAGGTGCACGGCTCTGAGTTGGACCATTACGAGGAGCAAGAAAGAGAGTGGAGGGTGAGGGAAGAAGCGAAGGCAGACATAAAGGAGGAGATCAAGAGGGCAATGAGAGAATTGCAATGCACTCCAGACGTCGTCGGGTTAAGCTACGCAGAACTATGCATCCACCCAGACTTGAACCTGCCTGAAGGGTTCAAGATCCCGAAGTTTGATACCTTCGGAGGGGTGGGCAACCCCATGGCACACCTAAGAGCGTACTTCAACCAACTCGTGGGAGTTGGCAAAGATGAAGCCCTGCTGATGAGGTTGTTCAGCCGGAGTCTGTGCGGTGAGGCCTTGGAATGGTTCACATCGCACGAAACTCGACAATGGCCCAGTTGGAGAGCACTGGCTAAGGATTTTATAGACAGATTCGCATACAACGTAGAGATAGTCCCGGATTGGTACTCCTTGGAGAAGATGAAGCAGAAACCCACAGAAAGCTATCGAGAGTTCGCGTACAGATGAAGGAAAGAGGCAGCGAGGGTGAGGCCTCCGATGACTGAGAAGGAGATTGTAGAGGTGTTCGTACGAGTGCAGGAACCCGAGTACTACGAAAGAGTCATCTTATTAATCGGCACCAAGTTCACCGAGATAGTCAAAGTGGGTGACACTATCGAAGATGGCCTGAAGTCGGGGAAGATAGACTGAGTGTCTGCATCTCCTGGGTCTTCCGGACTGGTGAGGAAGAAAAGAGAGGAGGTTGCCGCTATCTCATACGGGGGAAGAAAGGCCCCCAGAAACTTAACACGTCCTCAAGACCGCTCCAAGCCTCCATCAAAGTCTCATCAAGCCTATCATCCACAATCAAATCATCCGGCAACTACTATGCCGCCCCCACTTATCCAGATGCCCATATTTTGTCGTATTAGAATCCGCCCCAAATTCCCCAAAATTTTCCCTCCGTATATCAAAACTACCCCCAAGCCCAAGCTATCGAGCACCTTCCCCTGCATATCAAATACAAACTCCAGCATATCAAAGCCCCCTCCCAAATTAACAAACTCCAATGCCAAACTACCAAACAAATCCCTACCCCAGAACCCAATCTCCACGCCCAAATGCCTGCACTTATCAACAAGTCCCTCCCTCTCAACAGAGCGGGTATGATCCCCCTCGCCCCAGGTTTGAGAAGAATCCCTCCAGAAGATTCACCGCGTTGGCTGAAAGCAGAACTAAATTGTTCAAAAGATTATCCGCAGCAGGATACATCCACCCTGTGGGGCCCAAGCCCGTGGATGTCAATTCCAGATTCTACAGACCGGAGCAGAGATTTGTTTATCATTCCAACACTGTTGGACATGATACAGAAGACTGTATCAATCTCAAGCACAAGATCCAGGATTTGATTGACCAGGAAGTGGTCTCCCTTCAGCCTGCGGCGCCAAACGTCAACACGATCCGTTGCCAAATCATGGGGGTGGGAACATCAACATGATAGAAATTGACGAAGATAAGCGTGAAACGAAGAGAATTACTCCTGTTGTTCAGGAAGACATGGAAAGGGCTGTCGCTTCTTTGAGCGTCAGGGAAAAGGGATAGTTCGTCATTCTGACACCTGCAAAGGTTGTTGCCTTAGTGCCCTCAAAGACTCTCGCCAAACCCAAGTTTGTTATAGAAACGGCTGTGGCTCAAGGCATGACTGGATTTGGCAGATGTTTCACTCCTGACGAGCTTGCTCTTGGAGGACAAAAGAAAGATCATGCCAAGAGACCGATCAGCGAAGCAGAAGCCGAGGAGTTCTGGAGGAGAATGCAGCCCAAAGATTACTCCATTGTCAAGCACTTGGAGAAGACTCCAGCCCAGATTTCTTTGTGGGCCCTGCTGATGAGCTCCTGGTCCCACAAACAGGCTTTGATGAAAGCCTTGGATGACACGTATGTGCCCTCAGGTACGAGCAGCGACAATGTAGCTGCTATGATTCACCAAGTCATTCGGGGACACCGCATCAGTTTCTGCGATGATGAATTGCCGGCCGAAGGGAGGGCCCATAATAAAGCTCTACACATCACCGTGATATGTCGCAGAAAGATCATCAACCGTGTTTTGGTAGACGACAGATCTGGACTGAACATATGCCCCTTGTCCACATTGAAGCAGTTGAGGTTTGACCTCGGAAAGTTGGAGCAAAACCAGGTCAATGTGAGAGCATTCAACGGTGTACAGAGAGACACGTTGGGAGCAGTAAACTTAACCATCCAAATGGGCCCCGCGGAATTCGAGGAAAAGTTCCAGGTGTTGGATATCGACACCAGCTATAACCTCCTTTTGGGAAGGCCATTCATTTACATGGCTGGAGCTGTCCCCTCCACTCTCCACCAAGTGATGAAACTAGTATGGAAAAATAAAGAACTAGTTATTCACGGGGAAAGGAGCCATTCAGGTAAGCAGGTGCCGGTCTTGGACAAGACGCCGCAAAGTTCAGACTTCTACACGGTGGAGTTGGTAATGCCACCGATGAGGGCTTGGCCCCGCAGACTCCCATGCCGGCCATGTACAGAATGATCGCCACGATAATGTTGCAGAGCGGATTCGAACCAGGTTTCGGATTAGGAAGGAATGCCCAAGGGATCATTGAGCCAGTTCCTGTCCTTGCTCAAGGATCAAAGTATGGTTTGGGATACATCCCCACAGATGATGATGTGATCACACCTCTCTATCAATCCTTTCCATTCCCGGAGCATGCCGAGCCTGAAGACAGCGGGGAAGGAATCTGTGGCCTTTTCAAGGAGATTAACACTGTTATCGAGGAGGAGGCTGAGCCAGCTGGCATTCGTGATGCTGAACTAGGGGAGATGCTGCAAAATTGGACGTCCACGCCGATCCTGATGTCCCGAACTCTGTGGTAGAAAGGAGTTATTTTGTGCATACCAAAATCGGTGGTCATCCGGAAGAGGCCCGAGACCCACCATTTCTGCATTTTCTTGATTTTGAATTTTGTTGTGATGTTTAAAAGGCGACATGGCCTTGTGCCATGACCCAAGTTTGCATTTTGTTCGATTTAAATGAAAGACTCCTTATGTTGACTTTGTTTATTTAATTATGTGTTATATTTTACTTTCCTAATTTTGTCTGTTTATGATTTCAGTAATGTAACTTACAAACCTACCAATGTCATGTCATGTCATGAGCTAAATGAGCAAAATTAGGCAAATGACGACGAGGTTGACGACTATGACGAAGAAAGTGGGGAACCGGATTATGTGGCAGAAGAATTTTGACAGTTCGAGAATCAACATAAACCGAATCTGGAATAGACAGAAACGGTGAATTTGGGAGATTCAGAAAGTGTCAAAGAGGTTAAGATCAGCACTCGCCTGAATGAAACTCAGAAGGAGAGCCTGGTTCATCTGCTTGCCGAATACATGGATGTGTTCGTTTGGGAAGTCGGTGATATGCAGGGTTTGAGTACAGATGTCGTATCTCATAAGCTAACTATCAACCCTGGGTTCGAGCCGGTGAAACAAAAGACTCGAAAATTCAAGCCTGAATTGAGTTTGAAGATTATGGAGGAAATCACCAAGCAGATAGAGTCTCGATTGGTGGAAGTAACGCAATATCCAACCTGGTTGGCCAATGTCGTTCCGGTCGCCAAGAAAGATGGAAAAATCAGGATTTGTGTCGATTACAGAGATCTCAAGAAGGCTAGTCAAAAGGATATTTTCCGTTGCCAAATATCCATATTCTGATTGAAAACTGTGCCAAACATGAGATGCAGTCATTTGTGGATTGTTACGCGGGTTATTACCAAATTTTGGTGGATAAAGAAGACGCAGAAAAAAACGGCCTTCATTACTCCTTGGGGGGTATATCACTACAGGGTAATGCCGTTCGGCCTCAAGAACGCCGGTGCTACTTACATGAGAGCCATGACGACTATCTTTCATGACATGATTCATAAGGATATTGAAGTGTACGTGGACGACGTCATAATCAAATCCCGCGAGAGTTTGGATCATTTGACACACCTGAGAAAATTCTTTGAGCGTTTGTGTCGGTACAACTTGAAGCTAAATCCCGCCAAATGTGCTTTTGGAGTCCCAGCTGGGAAGTTGTTGAAGTTTATAGTCAGCATAAGAGGTATTGAGCTCGACCCTTCCAAGATCAAAGCGATTCAAGAGTTACCTCCGCCGAAAACGAGAAAAGAGGTGATGAGTTTCTTGGGGAGGTTGAACTATATCAGCCGGTTTATAGCACAATCGATAGTGGTATGTGAGCCTAATTTCAAGTTGCTGAAGAAATACGCCCCGACTAAGTGGACTGAGGAGTGCCAAACTGCTTTCGACGCTATCAAGAGCTATTTATCTAACCCACCGATATTGGTTCCACCACGAGAAGGGAGTCCTTTGTTGCTGTATTTGTCTATTTCGGATAATGCCTTTGGATGTGTACTTGATCAACACGACGAGACAGGGAAGAAGGAAAGGGCTATCTACTACATAAGCAAGAAGTTTACTCCGTACGAATCTCGCTACACTTTGCTGGAGAGGACATGCTGTGCTCTGACGTGGCTTGCCCAGAAGCTGAGACACTATTTGTCATCGTATACTACATATCTCATTTCCAGAATGGACCCATTGAAGTACATCTTCCAGAAAGTGATGCCGACTGGAAAGTTAGCTAAGTGGAAAATGCTGTTGAGTGAGTTTGATATCATGTACGTGACTCAGAAGGCAATAAAGGCACAAGCTTTGGCTGATCATATTGCGGAAAATCCCACGATGAATATGAACCACTTAAGACGTATTTTCACGATGAAGAAGTGTCATTTGTGGGTGAAGATACCTCCGAAGCTTATCCAGGTTGGATATTATTCTTCGATGGAGCGGTGAATCACCAGGGGTAAAGGTGTTGGAGCAGTCTTGGTATCTGAATCTGGTCAGCACTATCCTATGGCGGCTAAACTGCGCTTCAACTGCACAAACAACATGGCTGAATATGAAGCTTGTATTCTTGGTTTAAAAATGGCCATCGACATGAATGTTTATGAGTTACTGGTAATTGGAGATTCAGACCTTTTGATTCATCAGGTTCAAGGAGAATGGGCTGTGAAGAACCCGAAGATTGTACCTTACGTACAATATGTGCAAAATCTGTGTAAAAGGTTTCACAAGATCGAGTTCAGACATACTCCCAGAATACAGAATGAATTAGCTGACGCTCTTGCCACCATCGCTTCGATGATCAAACATCCGGATACTGATTACATCAACCCACTGGATATAGACTTGAAGGAACATCCAGTCCATTGTTCACATGTTGAATCAGAACCAGATGGTTTGCCTTGGTATTTCGACATAAAGAGATACTTGGAGTCTGGGACATATCCAAAAGACGCTACATCTAATCAAAAGAAGTCGATACGTCGTATGGCTCTCAATTTCTTTCTGAATGGATAAGTCCTGTATAGGAGGACTCCAGATTTGGGTCTTTTAAGATGCGTCGATGTTGCTGAAGCTGTGAGACTTTTTGAACAGATACATGCTGGAGTTTGTGGAACACGCATGAATGGGCTTACCTTGGCAAGAAAGGTCCTTCGAGCCGGTTATTTCTGGATGACTATGGAGAACGACTGTTGCAAATTCGTGCAAAAATGCCACAAATGTCAAGTGCACGGCGATTTGATACGGGTGCCGCCTCACGAACTTAATGTTATGAGTTCACCTTGGACATTTGTAGCTTGGGGAATGGATGTCATCGGTCCTATAGAGCCGGCCGCTTCTAATGGACACAGATTCATTTTGGTTGCCATTGATTATTTCACCATGTGGGTGGAAGCAGCCTCTTACAAGTCAGTAACCAAGAAAGTGGTGGCCGATTTTGTCCGCAACAACCTGATATGCAGATTTGGAGTTCCAGAGTCCATCATCACCGACAACGGTGCAAATCTTAACAGTCATCTGATGAACGAGATATGTGAACAATTTAAGATTATTCATCGAAGGTCAACTGCTTATTGCCCCCAAATGAACGGAGTTGTAGAGGCCGCCAACAAGAATATCAAAAAGATTCTGAGGAAAATGATTGACAAACAGCGAGGTTGGCATGAAATGTTGCCATATGCTTTGCTAGGTTATCGAACGACGGTCAGAATATCAACTGGGGCTACTCCATACTTGCTGGTATATGGAACAGAGGCAGTCGTGCCTGTTGAAGTCGAGATACCGTCCTTAAGGATCATCCAAGAAGCGGAGTTAAGCAATGCTGAGTGGGTTAGCAAACAGATTGATCAACTAGCTTTGATTGATGAGAAGATAATGGTCGCCGTTTGCCATGGCCAGTTGTATAGACAAAGAATGACTCGCGCTTTTCACAAAAGAGTAAGAGCCAGAAATTTTGAAGTTGGTCAGTTGGTTCTCAAGCGCATTTTTCCTCATCAAGACGAGTACAAAGGAAAGTTTGCGCCAAACTGGCAAGGTCCCTACATGGTTCGTAAAGTACTATCTGGAGGTGCTTTGGTCCTGTCCGAGATGGATGGCACTGTATGGCCCAAGCCTATCAACTCAGATGTTGTCAAGAGATACTACGCTTAAAGTTTCGTTTTGCATTTTCTATCATTTACTTGTAATCGTTCTGTTTGCTCAATTTGAATTCTTATCCCTCTTTGTAACGAACTACGTCTGACCTAAATTCTCGAAAACGAGATACGTAGGCGGCCTATGTCGGCTTCGGTCACCCCATTTACCCCCTTTAATCATTTCTTTGTATCTGAACTACATTCGACCTGAATTCTCAAGAATGAGATACGTAGGCGGCCTTTGTCAGCCTCGGTCGGTTTTTTTGTAAATTTTATTCTTGTCGACCTTAAAGGGGAACTACGTTTGACCTGATTCCTGCCTCAACGGGATACGTAGGCGCCACAAGGGCTCGGTCATATATCTCGTAAGTTCTATTTCCCCTTTACAATAGAAACTGGGACAGAATTTTTGAGAGGGACTCAAAAATTCTCCAGAAGAAGTCTCCTCTTCAGCGGATCGAACTAAAGACATTTCGAGATCTGCAACTGGGACAGAATTTTTGAAAAGATATCAAAAATTCCGCGGTCTGTTCAGTTACAGTGGAAAGATAAGCAGGACAGTAAACTGGGACAGAAATTTTGAGGATGGCCTCAAAATTTCATTATCGATTTTCCCTCCAAGTCCGGAGTGCCTCTGAAACTCATCAGCAAGTGTCAGATTCAAAGGAGCTTGTAAAGCCTGATAGGACATGACTTGGCAGCGACTTTTTCAACATACTATTTCTTAAAGATTTCTCATTTCTTTTAAAAATTTTCCCTCTTATGTGTCATTTGTTTTGGTGTACAATATCTTTTCTTATCTATCAAGAGTCGGGAAGTCGGGAAATCAACCGGAGATGTCAAGACCAGGAGCCAATAACAGAAGGAATCGACACAGATTAGTATGTTTTAAAACTGACAATTTTTCTGTGGATGCAGGTTTATAGTTTTGCTTTAAAGTCGGCCGAATTATCCCGACGGATGAATACGGAGAGCTCCCGAAGAGGAGAAAACTATCTCCAAAATTAGTGACTTACTGAAATCAGGAGGCAATTCATATAGTTTGTGTCAAGATGCTTGTGAATGTGTTTGTTTATGTCAAACCATTCTCAACAATGTGAAATTTGCAAAAGCGTCTGGCCAGATTCAAAGGTGAATCAAACAGGAATCTCAGCGAAGATTTCACGATTTCTATAGAGGATGCTATTTGCATTGCGTTATCAAAGCAAGATAATTATTATCGATCAAGACAATGTATTACCTCAGAAGAGATGCTTATACTATTATTATTTTACCATTATCGATCAAGTCGATATATTATTTGGAGATCGCCTTGCCGTTATTATCCACGGGGGCGATATAAATATTCATGCATCGAAGAATCATGCATCGCGAAATTATGCATTGCGGAAATCATGCATCGCGAAAGTCATATACTGCTGAAGAATCATGCATTGCGGAATTCATACACTGAAGAATCATGCATCGCGGAATCATGCATCGCGGAATTCATGCATCGTGGAATTCACACACTGAAGAATCATGCATCACGGAATCATGCATTGCGAGTCAACAATCATGCATGACGAGAAGATTTCATGTCTCGTCAAAAATTATACATCGCGAGAAGATTTTATGCCTCATTGAAATTTAGACACGACGAGAAGATTTCATGCCTCGACAAAATTTATACATCGCGAGAAGAATTTATACCTCTCTGGAATTTGTACATCGCGAGAAGGATCCATGCCTCGTTGAAAATCATGCATTGCGAAAATCATGCATTGCGAGTCAACAATTATGCACGACGAGAAGAATTCATGCCTCGTCAAAATTTGCACATCGCGAAAAGATTTCATTCCTCGATAAAAGTTATGCATCGCGAGAAGATTCATATCTCACGGGAATTTACATATCGCGGAAAGGTATTCATGCCCCGCAAGAGGACATACACGGATAAAGAAAGAGCAATATTTATCCATCGGCCTCAACATGCATCTTTTATTTTGATGGAAAAAATAAATATCAAGAAGAGCATCAAAGATAACGACAAAAGAGACATCAATATCGCATCAACATCTATTTATTTATTTTAGCATCAAATGAAGAGTACGTTGAAGATTTTATTGCGAAACACAAGACATAAGCTTTATTTGCTGGACGCCAGACCGATCGAGTCGACGTCGATTTGAGGAGAACAATGAACTGTCGGCACGGTAAAAAGACACTGTCTCCCATCCTAATTGCATTTTTTAAGCTGACGAGTTTTATCTCAGTCTTTGTTGAGAGCATTCGAAAAGGATGAATTCTCCAAAAAAACACAGGTGCGGACGATATCAAAAAGGATGCAGCACGACGTGGAACTTTTCTTAGCAGCGAACTGGGACACAGTCCGAAGAGGAATGTCAAACACTTAGGACGCGAGCAGAGGAGCGACTTCCACCACAATAAAACCACCCTCTCGAGGCATGTCGGTCTTTCTTTAGTTCTGTCAGTTTCAGTCTCGCATCCGGAAGTTTCGATTTATCGGAAGCAAGTTTCCAGTCTGAGTGACAACTCGCCAAGAGTTTTGGAAATTATGTCCGTGTAAGTTCTTACCTATGGATGTGAAGAGCTCCACATTCATGGCTAGGAGGTTACAAGCCTCCTTTTCATACTCGTTTTATTTTTTGTTTGTCCAAAACCAAAGGTTATCTAGCATAATAGACTTCCTTTTCCACTGATCGTGTCGAACTACACACAGCCTGATTCTGAAGGTTTAAGGATATGTAGGCGGATTCAATGTTGAAAACTCGGCTGTATTCCAACATTCGCTCTCGAATTCTATTCTCGAGCATTTCGGCACCTTCATAATTCGATGTCGAGGTGGCTTTTGATTCTTTCAAAACATGCGGTAAATCAAACTTATCGAACTACAAGTGGCCTGAATTCTCATATAGCCTGAAATATGTAGGAAACCCGTTTGCAGGGGTTCGGCCATAACTCCTAAACCCTTAGCCAAATCCTTCCTTTAAATGAATGGAGTTGGTCAAAATTGGTTCGGTCAATTTCATTTTCCTCGAGTTGCTTGCATCAACCCAAGTAAAATGAGGGACAGTTGTTGACACCCAAATTTTGACCCGCGTCGGGGTAAATTAATTATCGAGCTTCCTAAATTTTTCAAATATTTTAAATTAATTAGCTTTATAAATTTTACGAATATAATATAATACATGAACTTTATGTTACTTCGAATACGTTTTAACGTAATTTTTGATAATATATTACTCACATAATTATGTATATAATTAGTATATCTTATGATTATTCAAAAACCATCAAAATACATTTAAATGTTTTATTAAACTAGTTTAATCTAAATTATAATTATGCCTTTGAAGCACTATTTTTTACAGTTTAAATGGTTATGTTACTAAATAAATAAGCTCGTTAATAAATTTACACCAAATTCATTTTTGTTTAAATCAATTGGCTATTATTTAAATTGAATTCTTTTTACATTTTTTTAACAATCCATTCCAATTTCAGCCCAACATTTACCCCAATCATTAATCCCAAGCCCAAATTCCTTTCAACCCAAATCCAATGACCCAATTCCCGGCGGCCCAACCCCTTTAATTATTAACCCAACCCATCTCCCACTTTAATATTCAAACCCGTCCAACTCTTTGACCCGCCTCGACCCAAATCCCTTTCCCCCTTTCCTTCTTCCCCAAATCCCAGGCGATCCCCCCTGCAAACGAAATCCCTGCAAAAGAAAAAAAATGCAAAAGAACAGACCCCCAAAATGGAAAATGCGACCCCCCACGCTCTCTCCCCCCTGCGTCTCTCCCCAAGCCAGAAAACCCAGAAAAGAACAGGAAAAAAAAACAAAACGCAGAAGCTGCGTACAAAAGCAGCCCCAATCGCGTTTCTCATCTCCCCACGCGACTTCTCCCTCCCCCAACGTTTCCTTCTTCAACCCATCGTACCGTGTACAGTGCTTTTGGGGCTGTGGCAGACCTGCATTTCGTCTTTGCCAGACGCGTTTTCGTCCTTGGGGGCTCGAGATCAATCCACATCTCACCTCAAGGACGATTGGAGTGATCCCAGCCATTCCCCTCCCTTTTTCCATTTCCGCAAGGGCGAAATTTTCAGAAAAAAGATGTTGCTCCATTAATGGAAGAGATTTCAAATTTTGAAATGGTAGGCCTGAATCTTTCCCGCCCTCCCAAATTCGAGAACCTAATTTTGTTCTCCTCTATAAAAACCCCTTCTCTTCTTCAGAAAAGGGGTTGGACATTTTGGAGAGAATTTTTATTGAGAAAAATCGAATTGGAAATTTTGTTGAAATTTTAGGTTGAAGTTTGGGCGGTGATAAGATTTTGAGTTTGAGAAATCTTTGAAAGTGTTTTCAGTTCTTCTTTCGTCTGTCTTAGAAGAGGGTTGAGAAAAATCTTGAAAATATTTCGGCTCTTTCCCGTTTCTCTTTGGAACTGCCTTCGTAGTGAAGAAAATACCTCTCGTCCTTTGCCAACGATCGACAGATAGCATTTTGTCGTTTGGGTCCAAGTTTTCTTGACCAGATTCCACTTTTCTTTGTCGGAAATTCGAGTCCGGTGCAAGGTGGTGAAGTCGTTGCTGTTGCTGTTTGGCCTGCTCGTCGTCACCGTTTCGCTGCACTTAAAAAGGTAACCCCTCCACTCTATACTATCTTCTCGACTTCTTTCATCTCAAAATGGTCCCCTCTGTCGCTCATTGCTTTGTTGGGTTTGTTCTGGTTCGTTTTATGTCGTGACTGCTGAAGAAGTTTTGATTAACTTTTCTGAACTTGTTGTTTCTTCTTATATGGAAGTTTGGCGTTTGTTATTGGTTTAAGTATATTTATTCAATTGCTTCAGTGTGTGTCTACTGCTGGTTGTGATGCTGTTTATTTAGTCTGTTGGTCTGCTGCTTCATTTTTTTTTGTGTCGAGCATGTTGGAACATTCGAATGATTGAATACATGGCCTGTCCTAGTATGTTTCTGGAAAGTGTTCTTTTTCTTTCTTTGTTGTTG